ATTCTAAATCAAAGCATTTTTGTTTCCAAAGAAATCACGAAATACATAATAATAATAATAATAATATCAGGTCAACTGATTGTTAATTGGAAGATTAGATAATTAATTATAATTGATAAGTCAGTTATATATTATACAATTAACACATTCTTGGGTTGTAATGATAAGTCTAACACTTGATTCAAATTTCGATCAGTAAAAATTACTCTTCCGATTCTTTCTTGCGTTTTTACGTAAGGAATTGCAATTTGCTTTGCCTCATAGAAAAAGCGTCTGCACACGTGCGTTACGATTTAAAATGAAGCATCATAATACAAGCGTGCAACAAAAGGGTTGCCGATCCGATGAGAGTAATCCCGGTACCAACTCCGGAAATGCGCCGACGAAAGAACAGGAAAATTTTCGCTCCTTCCTTTGAACGCATGAGTACGACGTGTACCAACCTCGTTTAAATTCTCGCCGACCGAGTAACGCAGAAGAAAATTAAGGAAATGAAAATGATGCGAAAACATAAACACACCGTCGACCAGCGAGGAAAAATTTTGTGCAAAAAAGCAAAAAATATATATACACACACACACATCTTTTTCTTTCTTTCGGAGTTTCTCAAATACACTTAAAACGATCCCTCCGCGCAGGTTTTCCCGGCACGACAGTGAAATGCTGAAAGGATCGCACGGTAAAACATGCGGGATTGCTGCTTTACAGAGACAGCAATACGTAATACGCTCGCATTATCTTGTTGAAAAATATACACACACTAGATGGAAAATTATAGGCATCGGCACCCATTTGCCACGGCGAGAGATGCGGTCTATTTGAATAATTAATACTCGGTGGGCACGCGTAACGCAAAATATTGCGGCGTTGCATTTACTCCGGCGCCGCAATTACCCCGATTAATCATACATGTATGGTATAACGAACTCTCCGAGTTCATTATACGGCCTATCGGCGGATCTCCGATTAACAATGCAAATTGTTACCTCGACTCGGCAGCGCCGAGTACGATCGAACGAATGGAACATACAAATGGCCGCGATATCGCACCGAAGCAACCGCAAATCTTCTCGGTCGTAACGATTTCGACGTAGCATCACTGACGAAAATAGCGAGCTGCAAAATAGCAAGAACTAATCGCCTTAATGAGAAGATGCGTGTCCACAGGGTCAATAGCTCGATATCTCGTAACGAATCCGAGACTAGCAATAAACCGTCGGACGCCTTCTTCAATTTTAACACGCTATGCGATACATTGCATTTATTGTCAGCTAAACGCGAGAACGCGCTTTGATACGGTTAGACGCCGGTTAGACCTCTGACAATTGAAATCATGACGCCTCAACGTTTCACGGACCTTTGATTACATCAGCAAAAATAAAGTGCTTCCTAGCGTCGTTGCGTCATCCTCTGAGAAAAGACTTCAAACAAAATTAAAGTCTGAAGTTCTAAGATTCCTCTCCATTCGTTTTCATTCCATTGCATGTGATGAGCGAAACAAGAAATTACATGCGATATATATTGAAGAAAGAAGAGGTTTTTCAATCAATATGTCATTGCTCGCCGATAAAACCAATGAATTTATTTTTGAACTGACTAAATTGGATAACGGCTGACTCGGTTTGACAGAGTCTCTCGTTCAAAATATTTTATGATCTTATGCTATCGAATGCAAACAGTGATACGTATGAAAAGGAAAGAAACGATTTTCCGTCACGAGAAAAAAATCATATATGATTTTTCCTCGCTTAATAATCATCCGATCCAACATTTCCCTTGTCCTCAGTGCAACGTTTAAAATATTCATCCCGCGAGTCTCGGACGAATAAAAAAACGTCGCTGTTTTATCAGCGCTGATTTATCTCACGGCTTCTGATATCACCTGATACCAGGGATATCAGGATAGGTTGTAATCTTATTCAGAGAGTCATAATTAAATATATATATATACTCAAACGAATCTCAAAATATTTTCTTTGTCAATTCGCCGATAAGACTTCCATCGCTTCCACACAGGATGCTCTTCAATAACGAGACGGATCGATGCCACGATCCTCTCTACGCCACGTCCCCGCTCTGTTTTACCGCTAATTATTCCCCCCGCGGTCGCTCCGAACACGGACGTTTAATCGAGCGCGGTGGAAAACATGGAATCGGAGCCGGAGATACGGAAAACCGCTGACGCACGTGAGCTTTCCACGTGGTCGCGCTTAAACCGGCACCAGCGGCGGTCGCCGCAGCGGTGAGAGGGGAAGAGGGGGGGGGAGGGGGAGAGAGGCCGAGGGTTCATTTGCCTAGAATTGGAATACGGAGAAAGTGGGGCGTTGCGTGTTTCGCCCTCTCCCCGTCCAACTGCTTTTCTCCCGCTTTTCTTGCCGCCGCCGCTTAAAAAACACTACTACCGCGGAAAAGAAGAGAGCGAGAATGGAAAGAGTTACGCCACCGCCGCGCGCGTCCGTACGTTCGTTATTAACGCCGTCGTTATGGTGCAAGGTCTCCGCGCTCGACCGCTTAGCGAGCTTAGTCATGGTCAGACCTCGGCCAAGTATAGCTTCTTTTCTTCTTTCTTACACGCGTGCCGCTCGCTTCCCTTCCCGGCACGAGGTACGTGCATACGGTAATCTCTTCTAATCAAGCATCGCGTGAACTCAAGAACAACGGACAAAGGATGAAGGTTTTTGCACGTGCGTTTTTTTTTGCAGTTCCGCCAGCTGATCGGTTAGTAACGCTAATTACGGAATTTTATTGCGGCGGAAGCGACCGTGTAACTCGCGCTCCACCGCTTCCCGCTAAGTCTTTGACACGTGTTAATTATTACTTTTGCTTATTTTTAAGTCTCGCTTTTCACAAGCTTTGTTTACACTTCCATTAATAACGTAAATTTAGAGGA